GGGACCAAAGTGACCAGTGGGACCAAAGTGACCATTGGGACCAAAGTGACCAGTGGGACCAAAGTGACCATTGGGACCAGGGGGACCAAAGTGACCAGTGTGACCAGGGGGACCAGGGGGACCAAAGTGACCAGTGGGATCAGTGACCAGTGTGACCAGTGACTAGTGTGACCAGTGTGAAATGTCTATAACACCGGTTTTAGTGATATATATAAGAAAAATGAGGTCAGATCTATACACATGTGAGGTCGAATTAAACCGAAAATTAATGTTGGGTTGTGCGATGAGAACTTGTCTTTTTCCCAGATCTATACAGATCTGACTGCACTCCTGTGATTTGATGCGATTTCGACGGTATATTCGCTGAGATTTCACATGTACATTCGGCGGTGTATTCTGTTTTTTTCAGCGGAAATTTATGGGGAGAGAAAGGGGGAGAGAAACGAGAAGAGAGAGAAATGCGAGGCAAATAGAGGGATTTCGCCGGTAGATTCGCTGCGATTTCGCCGGTAAATTCTGGTTTTTTCTGGCGGGGAGAGAAGCTGGGAAACTGCACGAGGAGAGAGAAACGAGAGGAGAGAGAAACGCAAATCGATGGAGGGTTACAAAAAGGTGTTGAGGGTATTATGGAGACAACACATTTATAAAGGTATTGTCTGAAGATGTTTTTTTTTTCGTCAAGTGAGAGGTATGCCATGAAGTCAATGTAGCAAAGTAAGGGCATTTATGATGCCCTCATTCAGCCCCTAATATACCCAAATAAACTTGGTATTAATTAAGGGGGCTTTTATCAAAAATACCCCTACAATGCTACAAAGACTTCAAGGCATACCCCTACAAAAATAAAATAAAAAGTTAGTTCAAAACATACCCTTATAATTATGTTATTCCCATAATACCCATTGGCGTGAGTCCCAATGACAGAAACAGAAGAGAGAGAAAACAGTTTTCGGTTCCCTAGAAAAAAAATTAAATATTTTAAAATTTTTAAAACTCCCTCCACCACAAAAAATTAAATTTTTCGCGTGAATTTTGAAATTTTTCGGTGTGACCAGTGTGACCAGTGTGACCAAGTGATCAGTGTAACCAGTGTGACCAGTGTGACTAGTGTGACTAGTGTGACCAAAACTAAATTTTGAACGGTGTGACCAGTGTGACCAAGTGACCAGTGTAACCAGTGTGACTAGTGTGACTAGTGTGACCAGTGTGACCAAAACTAAATTTTGAACGGTGTGACCAGTGTGACTAAAACTAAATTTTGAACGGTGTGACCGGTGTGAGCAGTGTGACCAAAACTAAATTTTGAACGGTGTGACCAGTGTGACTAAAACTAAATTTTGAACGGTGTGACCGGTGTGACCAGTGTGACCAAAACTAAATTTTGAACGGTGTGACCAGTGTGACTAGTGTGACCAATATGACTAATATGAACGGTGTGACCAAAACTAAATTTTGAACGGTGTGACCAGTGTGACCAAAACTAAATTTTGAACGGTGTGACCAGTGGGAGTAGTGTGACTAGTGTGACCAGTATGACTAGTATGACCAGTGTGACCAGTGTGACCAGTGTGACCATTGTGACCAGTGTGACCAAAACAAATTTTGAACGGTGTGACCAGTGGGACTAGTGTGACTAGTGTGACCAGTGCGACCAAAACAAATATTTGGAATTAATATGCGCCTCTTACATATTCTTCGACAGATTTGCTATGCATCTATCTCATTTTCATAAATAAAAAAAAACCACACGATTCACTCTAAAAATCATAAAACGCAAACACAAAACACAAAGTTTATGCATCAAACCAATCTCTTGTATTAATGAGTTTACCTTCGGTTCTTGTCATTTGTTCTGTCTTAGACCGACTCAAGAAGAAGATATGAGGTCGTCGGTGAAGATATGCTCAACGAAATAATCATTTTTCGTTTGTTTTTCTATGTATAAAAATGAAATGAGAAGAAAGAAAATGGAAGAGTTGAGAGAAAGATAAGAGTAGAGAGAGAAAATTAAGAAAGAAATGAAGAGTTGTCAAAGAATGAAAACAAGAGAGGTGAATTCAAAATGAAGAGAGGAGTATCACGTTACTTTTGTGAGAGGGTTAATTATGTCTTTTGTTCCTTTTATTTTTTTTTCAAAATTTTAGGGTTTTGAAGGGTATACCATGAAGTCTTTGTAGCAAAGTAAGGGTACTTTTGCTATTTTGTCTAATTAAGGCCTTGTTATATAAAACTAAAGATAACAACTAGTATTCTTTGTTTAATTTATATATATATATACAAATATATAATTTATTATGATAATATAAAATCAAATTTTACCAAAAACTATTTGACAACATTCCCATTATAGTTGTTTTATTTTAATCCAAAATTTATAAGAAAAGTATCGTTCCCACTTTATATTATACATTTAATTCCACCATTTGATCTTCCTAAATTCGTTCTACGAATTTATTTTCCTTTGACAGACCATCTGTAGTTAGTTCGACAACGTAATCGGAGATCATGCATTTAGATTTTACAGTAAATCAAATGTTAGATCTGAATTCTATTAAAAAACTAATTAAAGATAATCTGTTATTTTAAAGGAATATTAATGATATCAATATTTAAAAAAAACTAATTTTCATATACAAATCCAAATTCAAATTCAAATTTTCGGGATTAAAAATAAGAAGAAACAACACAATACAATAAGAACATTGGAAGTTGGAACAACAGAGAATGGAAATGAATTCATTTGTTGTAGATTTCTTTTTTGTTTGGATTTCATGGAAAGAAAATCTTCATCCGATATCAAGAAAATCACTGAGGAGTGGGAAGAGAGAAGGGGAGGCAGCCTCAGGACGGCTTCCTCCGTCTCCATCGGGTCTGATCTAGAATCTACACCAAAAACACAAAGACCAAACTTGAATTCAAATTTCTAAAACCCTATACCCAAAATTTCACGGCCGCCAAAATCGAATCCTGGACCAAGCTACGCTTCAGATCTTCAAAATCTCTTTTCAATCACGACCCTTACATCATTTCTCTCTTAGTATCATCCTCATCAACCCGTATTCCGATCAATCTCGCGAGACGGGTCATCGCGTTTTTGGGGTGAGGGTCGATTCTTCCATAAAAATAAGAAGGATTGGTTCGAGAGAATGCATATGTTACCTTGAGTATAAGGCTTGAAGAACTGCAGAAATCGACCTCGAAACGTGAGAAATCGAGCGAGAAAACGTCGAACGATGCTTCGAAATTGGGAGGGGAGTGCAAATGAGGTCGATGTCACAAGCTTCTCCTTACGTAGATCTGCAGATTTGCTCGGCATCGACTTTTCCATCGCCCATTGTGAGATGATTGAGGTCGATCCATGCGAATTTTCATGGATCGACTTAACCATGGGGTGATGTCTTGAAAAGGCAAGTCGATGCTGGTAGTCGAGGTCGATTCTTGGGTGAATTTCAGTTGATTTTGCAACTTGGCTTACATCGACCTCTCCACATCGGTCCATACTCAGGAAATCACCACCAGATTTTTGGCTTCTCGCGAGAAGGCGCTAATTTAAGGTCCTTACTTGATCTTATCCGATCAGATATTAGGGAGAGAAGTGACGAAAGGAGATGATCCACCTTCCGTCAGTCCCGGCTCCATCCTTCGAATTTTGTGTGGAACAAACCGGATCAGCATCCGCTTTCGATTCATTTCCGGGCTGGTTGCACGGGAGTGAGTTAACACATCCACAGAGAAAAATCGAAATTTCACAACAGCAAAAAAAGATTATTGCCGCAGTGAAAAGTAAGTGGTACAAAAGAATCTTTAAAATATTGTTTTAGATTTCAAAGAATAATTGAGTTAAAAAATAAATGAGAAAAAAATGTGAAAGATATCTTGGGTTTTTTTTATGACGTTTCTTTTCTCCCTTTACTATGTGGATTTTAATAATCGTCATTTTATTTGTGGTTTATTACATAATTTTAACAAGTGGTAAAGTCCAGGACCTTTTTTTTGAACTCTTAATAAAAGATTCGAAGGAAACAAAAGAAAACGGGAAAGGGGTCAAAAAGGTTTCTCATGGCGGACGACCCTACAGTCCTCTCCAACTACTTGTGCAGTAAGGCGTGTGATAAAGAAGCTTTGTCCTCCAGATACTTGTTCACCAAGGTGTACGATCGAATGGTTCATATATATAAATCTTGTGCTCAATTGGCGGAGTTGCATTTCATTTTCATATATATAAACTGTGTGCTCAATTGCCGGAGTCGCAATTCTCTCTCTCTTTGTCGGCATCGATGCCAATCGGGTAAGTGTTTATTCAAATAAATTTCCCTTCTTGATGCAAGATTCAGATCGATTCCGACCGTTTTAGCCATGCTTCGTATGCTTTTTTATACAGATCTTATTGGTTGTTGATTGCTTTATCCGTAATTCTCTAGCCCAAGTGTTATTGTTGATCCATTAAGGGGATTGATGTCGGGGTCTCGCTCTTTTAATCTGATTCTTCGCTTTTTTTCTATTTGTTTTTTAACAACGTATTTTTTCAAAAGACTATCTCGGTCTCACGAGAAACAAATATTCGGCGGTCCGTGAATTTTTATTATTCAAACATAAATGCTAATTTTGAATACATAAATTTTCCACAAAATAACAAAATACACATAAAGTTGTTCAGATTTTACAATACAAATAGAAATTCAATACAAACATTAAAATGCATACAAAATATATAATAAAACTAGTTGGATATTTTATAAATATAAATATTTGCATTGTACCCGGATACCCCGCGTATTGAAACCCGAACACGAACCTGTGGGTGGGATTTATCATCTAATTTATGTCGTACTCGCTTTTATTTATAATCGGATACCCAGATCTAATTTATGTCGTACTCGCTTTTATTTATAATCGGATACCCAGATTTCGTCATATATCCACGAACTCTCCTTGGATTTTCTTTCTTCCATAATTTTCCTTTCTAGCATAATCATTTTTGCACTTGTCCCACTCTCTTATTCAATCGCTAGATCAGTGCATAGAACGTGTAGCTTGTGCCATGGGTATGCTCTTTAAAAGACTCTTTTTTTCTATCTCTCTTATATCACCTATAATATCATCACATTGTCAAAGCTACGATCATTTCCACTTTTTATTTGCTAGTCATATAGTTTAGTTCACGATCTAATTTTAATTATTTCGTGAGATGTATTCTTTAATCTCCTCTTCATGATTGTCATGGTTTATCTTGAAATTCCAAACCTTATGATCTTGCATTTTATTTTAATTGGAATTATATAAAAAATATCTTCTATATACTATTTAATTATACCATTCTCCATCTGTAATCTTGTGTCCAGAATTGCAGTTTAGTCATATGATGATCACATTAGTCATAACATTAAATTTATAATAGTTTTATCAACTGATTAGTGTGATATATGAGAGGGGTGAATTAGTGCGATCACCATAAATTTAAAATTATGACTAAGGTGTAATTCTGGTCGCGTGGTTACAGATGGAGATGTTGGGTTTCGCTACGGATTCCTAGCATGCGATCATCTCGATCTAGGGTTTGGTTTACTAGGTTTCATGCAGCGGAAGAATAATCTAAACCTAGTCAAACGTCACACGCAATCAAAATCATCCGTAAAACCCCGTTTAATCGTGTATATCACCGTAGGAATCGAATACTTACCTCTTTCCTGAAGATCTGAAAGTAGCAATCGATCCAGGGCCTGTTTTAATCACCAAGAGCTGAAAGTACAGCTCCTCTACACGTATCCACACCGACGGGAAGGATTCCAAACGCTTTTGGAACTGATCTGCTAGGATCTGTGAAGTGAATAGGGTTTTCAAGACTTGGGATCGAATCCCTAGAACTAGAACCTCAAAAGGAACGATTTTCTTGTGTTCTAGATCTGTCTTAGGGTTCTGTAAGTTTTTCTTAGGTTGAGGACGGCGTCCAATACCTCCTTATAAGTTACAAACCCTAATCCTTGTGAAAAGAGACTTTTTTCCGAGTATTGACTCGGTCCGAGTCAGAACTCTGACTCGGTCGAGCCAGAACGAATCAACCCAAACCCATTGTCAACTCTTGACTCGGCCCATTGAGTATTGACTCGGTATGAGTCAAAACTTTGACTCGACTGAGTCAAAACATTAGCCAAGCCCAAAACACTTTCTGGGCTTCGACCCGCATGGAACTGACTCGGTCCGAGTCAAATACTGACTCGGTCCGAGTCAGAAGGCTTAAAACGTCCCGACACTCTGATTTGATCCGAAAACGGTTTTTCCGATCAAATCCAAGTCTTTCTTTCCGAAACTTCACATATAAGTCCATCCCTAATGGTGTGTGACCCTGTAGGCCCATTCGCAGTGGCAGCAGCCTCGAGAACCATTCCCGATCTACAAGTCAGGGTTAGCCTCTAGCAAGACGCCATGACCACCCACGTTGAATTGAGTTAGAAGTGATCTAACCGAGGCAATAACAGCTCGAGTTCTGATCCTTTATCTCCCGATATCATACGTTGAACAAGGGCATGGTTTGAGCTACCCTTCAAGTTCAACCGCTTTCTCGTCTTGGCAAATCGACTAATAAAATAGATGCAACTTCATCTATAGCGTGGCCACGCATTTTCATAGTCCGACTTCCACGAGAGGGCCCAGCGATATCTCTCCTATTGAGGAGGTGACAAGTCCCATATTGCATGTCCATTATCTCCATATGATTCGTGAACGTATCTGATCAACGCCGTTATAATCATCCGGTTAAAGACGACGTTTAACGCAGTCAAGACACGCCACTCCTCATATCAGATACTCTAGACATCTCAGGTATAAGGATCCGAGAACGAACCGCTGTATGAGATTCAAGTCATGACTCTGTCCATGTGACAATCTCATGCGGGTCAACCAGTCACTCGTTCACAACGAGTACCCATGATTGTGATATGCATCCAATGCATCAATCACACCTCATACTAGTCTTAATTCATCATTGTTCCCACAATGATAACTGACCAGGGAGTTTAGAATCATTCTATAATGATTCAAGGATGCCGAAATATAACAAACATGCCAATCATATAACGGGAATGTAATGCATTCATAAACCAATGAATCAATACAAAGTCAAAATGTCATAGAAATTTACATGTTGAAATCAAAATAGTAGATGTACAGTATTTTTGATAATGTCCTATTTTAATTCTTTTATATATAATTAAAATTTTATCAATTAATTAGTATTTATTTAAAACTATTAAATATTTTTGAAAAATTATTACTTTTTATTTTACAATGTAATGTAAACTAAATAATAAATAGGATGATGATATTGTTAATTAAATTAAGAAATTATAAAAAAATAATATATATCAGACGACCTACAACTAGGGATATTACAAAATTACCTTTAGATTTTAGCGAGCACTTCAAGATATACCCTAAAAATGTTAAGGTTTTAAAAAAATGAAAAAACGTTGAAATTGACCACAAAGTTAATACTGGTCGCATTTGAAAGGTGTGACCAGTGTGACGAGTTTGACTAGTGTAATAAAACTAGTCAAATTGGTCACACCAATAAAACAAAATTGATAATAAGTCTTAATTTTATTTTTGCGGATTCCTTTTGTATATGCATCATCAGTACTCGTCAAACTGTCACATCTTATCAAATTTTACGAATTTGACGATTTCAAACTGTAAATAGATCAATTATCACCCCATTCAACAAATATCTCAAGTTGAAAATAATCTTACCTCTCAAATTTTAACACCTTCATGTTTTTGACAATGCATGTTCTCCCCATTAGTTCATAAATAACACAGTTAAATTGGTCACACCAGATAATCACACTAGTTACAAGAATCATACATTCTTCGAACTCATTGATCGTGTAGCTTATTGCACATTTAAAGAATAATTTAGTAACGGTGTCACCATTTGTACCATTTTCTTTCTGAGCCTCTGTTAACGTGGACTTTTAAATTCTACGATGTACCTCATACAAAAGTCGTATTGCGCTTATTTGCATACTTCTCACACACCTTTGATTATGCTTTTATATCGGTTAGATAACACAATTACATCAAGACCATCCGGTATTACTTTTTGCTCAATCTTATCATAAACTACAACTGTGAAGCATTCTTCTCTTTATCTATTACACTCCAAGTTAAAGGATATTTGTGATTATCTTCATCTTGGGCAGTTGTCACGACCAATGCTCCCTTATATTGACTTATCAGAAATATTGCATCGATA